CCAACCGAAATAACAGATCACTGTTTTCGTTCTTCATATATAGTATCTGCCCGAGAATAGAACTATAAAAAAGCGACCTAAAGCTTAACCTAATTCGATGTGCTCGAATTTTTCCTAGTAAACAGAGTCCAAAAAATGCTATGCTACCTACTATTTTCTACCGCCATTACATTTTCTGGTTGTCCCGTAAACGCGTCGCCCTGTCATCGATCTGGTTCCGTTTCGTATCATTCGTGTGCTTCCATCATTGGCAGATAATACGGTTACTGAACGCTGCGTTCTTTATGTAGGTTTAACCTAAATAAGAACATGGAGAGAGCGAGCATTGAAAGTTGAAAGAAATTGAAAGTTGCCGAAGACACATTGTGGGAAAGCAGATTGGAACTGGTATTTTTTTAGGCCGACAGCCGAAAAGTTAGGACATGCAAGGCTTTTTATTGAGGAGAAACCTTTCTAATGTAAGTTGATACCGCAGTCAGCTTTCAGTACAGTGACTTTTATCCAGAATTTGGTCGACGGAAGCAATGTTATCGTACCCGTCTCACTATTATAAAATTAACACTTAAATGCGATTTGACGTATTAGTTCTACATACGACTGTGACGAAATTCCATGATATGTTCATGCTTCTGAAAAACCAAAACGTAATAACTGTTACTGCATCATTGCCTAATTGATCCAGTTACAACGATTACCACCAATTTTTAACTACTGCCGTTATGGTGATCCCCCCTTTTTTTGATTCTATTGAAACGAACAGCTGATCGTGTTTGGTAATAAGTTAAATATTAGACACTGTATTTTGCCAGTGTAATGGCATCATGCATCATAAAACCCAACGCTAAGGTAACATTTAACCTTCGTTTTGATTCTGTTTTATTAAAAGCTACCGTTCGTAGACATCAAAGCACGAGTGAAATATCGCAAATAGAATGGATAAACTGGAAAAGCCTTGATCGAATGGGAGATTCATCAGCAAAGATCTAAGCCAGTCGATCCGTCACGTCGTCCTGTCATTCACACTGTGTAATCTACGGGCAAAGCAATAAACAGAAACATTCAATTGCTTATCCACGTGAAGTCTAATAATCCGCTGACTATCACTGAGCTAACAACTTTACAGATATTATTAAGGGAATTACTGTGTACGACAGCCGACCTTTTTACATCAAGCATTGTAAAAGCCCGAGGAAGCATTCATCTGTCGGCAGTACCTTCGCCGTGCTTTCATTGCGCATCGTAAGCTTTTTGATCGATGCGTCCTACCCTCCCCACTGCTAATGGCACTGGAATTTCGAAATTAGGGAACATGCCCGGATAGGTTAGATATTGCATTTATCTCAAGTGGTGACAAATGGTATGTTTGCCTTGTCCGCATAAGTAAGGTTCTCTCATATATACAACTTCCAAGTTCCTTAGGTTTTCACAGGGACTTCGAGCTTCTTTTAATCCAACAAGAAACATCGGTTTAATGCTGCATCCCAGCATCTCGCCCTGTACGGAGTCTCACGCAGCCATAATAATCGATTTTTGCACAGAATTGTCATCAGTGATGAGAAGTGTTCGTATGTCAACTTGCGGCACAAATCGATACTGGGTGGCATAGGAGAAAAGCAGAAATAAAGGATATATTAAATCTTTATCCAATAAAGGTTATGCTTTAAATTTGGTGAGACTCGAATTTGCTTCGAAACGTAGGAAATTGCTTCCAACGAACCAGGTAGTTCATTGGGCCCAGTTATATTGCATCGAGCAGGCTATTCAACAGAAGAGACCCGACACAGGAGATCAGATCATCTTGCTCTGCGCCAGTGCAGAATCACACACGGCAAAAATTTTCAAAGCTGCGCTCTTGGGCCTCCTTCGAATGGGAGAGGTTGTTGCATCATATTCTCGAATTTTCAGTTTTTTGCCTTTCCAACGTTACCTTTGACACGGGTCAAAAATTCAAAACGCAACTGAAAAACTTGCTACCACCCTCTGACGAGACGGCATATAGCGCTTATTATTATATACATATATAAATGGCGTATTTTTCTGTGCAATACTTTTTGTGAGCTTGCAGGGTAGTGGGTTTAGAATGACACCCATTTTTTGAGCTTGGTATCAAAGTGAGTGTCCGCAGTTTTTCGTACTAAAACAAATAAGTCAACAATTGTTAACAAAGGAGGATAGTTTTCAGGGTATGTGTAAAGGTTAGTTGTTTTCGAATGTTGTCAAGCGCGGCGAACAGGCGCTGAGATTGAAAAAAACCCAGTTTTCTCGTTCAAGATTTGCGGTATGCGTTATTGCTAACTTTCATGCGACTTCCAAAAACTACAAGAAAAATTTCCATTAAGCTAAGCAAAACTTACTTCTAATGGATTTTTGCGAGAAACATATTTCGGTGACGCTTAAACAAAAATACATTTGCCGCTATTGCTTGACACACACGTGTATGTTGGAAAATTTGTACACAAGTTGCGCCTTGAACTGAAGCAGTAATCGAGGCCACTTGAAATAAAATCGAACAAAGACGACCATCCGGAATGACACATACCAGGTGCAACAATGGTAGTTCAAATATTTGTTATTATCTATATATATATATTTTTTTTTCAAATATATATATATATATTTGAAAAAAATAAAACTCATTAATATATATATATATATAATGAGTTTTATCATTGAAATGCTATTTTAGACTTCAAAGAGAGTCGATTGCCGTATTTAGTGTCAGTGGAACGCTTATGTTGCCCATTCGTTACAAGATTATTCTACCTTCACGCAAGGTAAAGATCTCAATGATGAAAAGGCTTGAGATCACAATTCAATACAATTGCTTGTTACGTAATCTTTATAGTGAACGATCGATGCATACGTAAAACACACGGAGAGAACACGCTTTTAAATACGTATTCCATTCGCATTTAGTACACACATACTTTTTGTCGACGTGAATAAGTATACGTATCGTTATATGTCGTTATCATACACCTATACATATACGTATTACTTTATATCGTATCGCGTTTGGTTGAAGTGCAGGTAATGTTGCATACGATGTTTGACGAATATTTCTTTTTTTTTTGCAATTTTCGCCCGGGTGACAACATAACTTTCTTACCCATAAAAATCTTCATGGGTACATGAATGATGGTTATTATATTTCACTGCAGTTTGTTGATTTAATAGTTAGGTTAGGAGAAAGAATTGGGTTAACAATGCAGTATTTTTAGTGGGAATCATTGAGGGTAATATTATCATTTATTAACGAATTATGGTACGATAAAAGCACTCAAACCTATGATTTTTATTAATATTAGATAGCAATCAAATATTTAAGATAAGTAATGTGCACGTATCGGCAATACTGTTGTTATAAAGGCATATATAATATATAAGCACATCATACAAGCACACATAAGTATAACATGACAGTAGAACGACAAGCAAGGTAAGAGCTTCTCTACTTTCTAAAATAAGCTTAGCTTTTTTAAGATATAGCTTTATTTAGTGTAGCGGTAACGTGTTAATCTACAGATACGTAAAGCTGTCTTGGCTCAAGACTGCGCACAAACACGCTTCTTTTTGCGCTGCAGGCCTGCCGTCTGAACAAATGCCCCGCTAATGTAAAACTTTGAACGTTATGGCTGTTTTGTGTCGATGTACCCACACAGCAATTACAATTTATCCCTGTAGGGCAAATTACCCCAAACGAACCCTTTTCCGCATACAGTAATTTATATTATTTGAAATAAGTTAGTGTGCATGCTCTCCGACAAAATACTAATTTGGGATGATTTTTTTAAAAAGAGAAACTCTCTTAGTGACGGAATTTTCCACACAAATATTCGAAACGCTGTAGAAAAAGTTTAAGTACCTGTACACAACAAAGCAAGGCTTAAGCTAAAACCTTAGTTAAAAGTATCGAGTTCATATGATTCTGAGGTCCTCTTCCTTTTGCAGAATTCTATATTCAGAATTGCAGCTTAGTAATGGCGCTACAAAATGTAGCAGGAAAAAGTAAGTAAACATATGTTATTTGTCAATTCGTTTTGTTGATACTAAGCAATCGGTGTTATATAAGTACGTATTAATATTTGGATTAATTTCTAGCTAACTGAACTCTTTTCTACTTTTCATTATACGCGTTGTATTCTGAGTGACAGACATATGCCCACGACATTGACGGTCGAACAACCACGTTTTTTTATCAAAGCTTCATCTTCTTTCAGACATAATTGCTTAACATAATATTGTCACAAACCGGCTTCGTAATTTTGATTAATTTATCAAGAAGATCACTATCATTATCACCAGCAGCAGTGGTACGCTGGCGCTGCAGGCAATTTAGCGCCAACACGAATGCGCAAGGGCGAGCCAACCAACTGCGAGCAACATGTGGCGAATCGCCTGCCAAAGCTGATCATCCCACGCATAATAGATCACAAGCAGCAACATCAACGTGATAAGCAACTTGGGTTTTGACGTACGGTGGTTTTCGAGGCAACCACTCCCGCAGCCGATGGGTGAGCAATTTTCGAAGTAATCGGCGAAAATTGCCGGTAGCAGTCAACGGGGGCTGGGGCTTCGCCAACGACTATTTTCGAAAACCCGTTAGCCGCAAAGATGTAAGAACGACGCTCCGTCGTGCCGCCGAAAACACCGTTGGGAGGCTCGTCCCCTGGTGCAGTTAAATTCGGCGATAATTAATCTGGACATTATTTAGCGATGGCTAATCATTACGCAAAAGTACAGCGTTATTGTGATTCTATCGCGTAGACTACTATGAAATTTGTTGAAAGACGTACTTCAGACGTAACAATTGTTCTACTTTGTTACTACCTGCTTGAATGAAAACTGAATTGGAACTTACAGCCGTCAACGACGGCAAGTAACACGCCACTATGAAAATTCCCGAAAGTACCTAGTCATAGAGATAATTCGACTACCAGGTAATTAAATTGGTTAAACGTTGAATTTTTTTGTTGAATGAAATTCGAAATTGAATTATTTCAGACGCGTGCTTTGTTTATTCATCATAAGCAACTTCAATAGAGGTTTGGCACATTCATACAGTGAGTTTACTTTTTATTTTAGTTCACTAAAAATGAACCAGGTTTCTTCATAGGTTTTTCATTGTACTGGTAAAATTTCATTCATAATATATTTTAAGTTAGCGAAATGCTACGCACTTGATTGTACAACAATTAATATGATTAACCTGAACAAATAGTCGGGATACGTTGTTGCTGTTGTTTGCTATTGTTATACATAAACATTGATATACTCACGATATCCAACAAGGTTCACACTTAAGGCAAATTAATAAACGGCATAATTCCCACTAAACGTGTTAGACAAGTGACAAGCCCACATCTATTTATATGTAATTAACTTAAAACTTACGATTTGTCTGCCCCCTAACTCTCACCAATATCGCTCAATATAGCCGCACTTCATCACAAACTTGCGCCAAACTCTTTACCCACATTACCCAGACGCCCCAAGCAGCTATTTACTAGGCTTAAATCACTGGGACAAAAAGTAGGGGCATCCAGTACAACCTCACATTTGTTTGCGGCAATTTCACGCAGCTAAGATATAGATAAGACGAGATGAGATAACCGAAAATGTTAACAGTCGTCGAAATCGTCACAGTCTGAAAACAAAGTCTCTTCTCGTTCGAAATCTTCACGTAAGGTAGACGCAAGGTCTAGCTTACTTCTCTTCGCACTGATTGTATCGACGTCGCCGACGTCTCCAATACAGCTAACGGGCTTTATTGATTGAATCTGATATTTCGCACGAAGAGCACAACTAGCTTCCCGTAGCAACACTATGTTACGATGAAGCCTGCCGTTCAAATGCAAATGATGACGACTATTTTTCCCGTCTAAGCCATAGGAAAGACCGCAGGTCTGACATTCTTGAAGAGGGAGACGTTCGGGAAGGCTACGGAGCCGTTGTTCACGGCCGCTTCTGCGCCTATTGAGACGGTCCTCAATAGCGAGCCGACTTTGCTCGAGCTTGCGGGCTTCTTGCATAGCCTTTTGCGATGCCTGAATAAGGCCGCGTTTTCGTAGGCAACGTCCATTTTCAGCAATAGAGTCAGCCTTTTTCGCCAGTTTGCGAATGGCTTCTTCTAGGGCAAGATCATGTTTTTCAATCGAAGCCCTCACATCGCTAAGCCGCAAGAGAGCTTTACGTTGTTTTCGGTCTTCATGGTCAACATCTTCCAAAGCATTGTCGATTACGCGCAGGGCTCGCAGTTCCACCCTGCTGATTTCATGGGCCGGGACAGATTTTGCCAGTGCGCCGTCGTGCAGCCAACGACACGGTCCTACTGAAAACTTTGTGTTCAGTAACAGTTCTGCGGGACAGGCACCCACGGCAAACGCGAAACACAGTCTCCCTAACCGAGGGGCCTGATTTTGTGGCCGTTCTGGACCACCGCTATCACCGGTGGCTGCCACGCGCTCTAAAGAGGTTTTGAATTGTTCATTAACTGCGACTGCCATTAGCTCCCTAATAGCATTTCGCATCAGATCTTTGGCAGACATTTTTCGTTTTACAAAGAGCTAATATATAATTCGTATCTGGCTTCAACGAGCACCCCCGAACCACAGAACGGATGTATTATCTAATGTCAGTCGATCCAACGGCAAGAAGCACTAAAAAACGGGAACTTGGGGGTTGAATAGCTAGACAATATCCAGATCCTATTGTAGAGTTCCAATGGTACGTTATGTAAATAGTAGAGTTGAGATATTTAGGCGGGACTGCGTAGCTCAGAAAGTGATGGTTATTCCTGTTGAATACACTAATCTAATACAAACACGTCCACTGCTACGAGCGCGGCAAGCTCAACGTATCATCTGAATTATAAGCTTCGTCGTCGTGATAGCATTCACGTGCTACCACCAAATCTTAAAGCTGATCTATTAATTAAAAGTATTCAGGAAAACTTCGTGTTCTATGATAGCATAACTATGTTATTCCATCATGGACATGAAATGAAATCTAACCTATGTATTTGTTAGGTAAGCAAATGAAACAATGTTTCGAAGTTCTACGTTCGGTACTCTTTCAGCGTGTTCTGGCTGGTTCCTGTCGACGCTAAATGAACTGTGCTTCAAGCATAGAATGGTACGTATCCTTAAGTTTCATAGGTCAATGCACTGCTATAAGGATAGAAATATCTCGACGGGACAACTATGTAGCGGGTAAGGACTAACTTTTAAACGTGAAGTGTTCCGATACTACCTTAGGCAGCAGTCGTTCTCGAAGAGTCATCCTAGAAGTATGAGTTCATATAGCACGAAGTAGACAACATTAAAGTCAGTGGCTGTTTGAAGTATTCGTTCTAATCCCAATCCACACTTACAGCAATACAAATCACGAAGCTTTTTTCTCACTCATTATAATGTCCATGGTCTACAAAGAATACATAGGGGACTTTTAAGAAGACCTAATAACATTTCCTCGAATACAAAAATCGTTAAGCGTTATCTATTTGCTTATTAATCTTAACGTGATTAACTAAAGAAGCATAATGAATGTTACTACTAAATATTAGGTTATTACTACGGCAAACGAAATTGGTGCGTAACTAGTCAACGATTAAGCGATTTATTTTCATAACTATTTTTTTTATCGCTAATTCTTTTTTTTATTAAGTTTCGCATATGAATCTAGGCTTACATATTTTCAAACGGAAATTAAGGTGCGTCCAACGAAGCATCAGTTAGCTCTAGCACGTTATACTGTCACCGCACACGGTCTGCGCAGCTATTGGTTAATTTTGTCATCACAAAATGGCGGGGTTTAATTTTCACGCGGAATCAGCTAAATGTTCCGATTTGCCCCACAGTGTCGATCAGACCCACGAAGGTGACAAAATTCACACCCGGTCTGAAGGCATCCAATAGCAAATACTGATCCGCTTGCTTCGCCACCTGTGTCTTTATGTGACGCATTACATTTTTATCATCAATGACATTCTAACATGTGTAATAGCTATTGTAGTTTGATATCGGACCCGTAACAAAGGAGAACCTGTTCCTAGAGTAGCGCACATCTACCAGGAACAGCGAATGCCCAGTGGAAGGTATATAAAGCTGTTGTTTTGCAAATGGAAGGGCAGAGCTAACAAAAACATCTGAGGTATCGATTGGAGATATAATTGAATGCGCTCACGAAATCCGACAATGAAGCTTTACGCCTTTGCCTTCGATAAGTGTCCTGTTGCTCGAAGCATTGTTGTTGAGAGAAGGTGAATGAAGGATTTGTCGCTGTATGGGAAGACAACAGTTGACCTGATTGAGACAGAAAACAAGCTAGGGATCGGAGACAGTCTTTTTTCTTTTTATAGAGTTCTTTGGATAGCCAATACTTTCTATAGAGTGTTTTTGTTTGTACTATGATTCTGGTTAGCTAAGAAAGAAATTTTTTTCGATCTTGTTAGCCGTACGCTGTGCTTGTGTGTATTGCGCCGCCAAGAGTTGGAGGATAGCGTTTTCGTCGCCAGGGTGTGGGACCATACTACTTACCGGATGGGGCCGATCCTATTACATCTAGATACAACTAACTTCCAACGTCCGGATAGGTAGGTGCTACTTTTTCGTTTCATACATATCCAAAATTTGAATGAGAATTTATGAATATTAATTTAGCTAATTGGGTAGAATAACCTAGACGGTGCAGGTCCGTTACCACGCAGATAACGAGACCGACGCCTGCCTTTAATGAATCTAATTTCCATGTGTTGATTGCACTCATTATTCAAGGTATGGATACTCCGCCGATATTGAAAAAGCGACTGCCGAATTTGTGATCCTTTACCACGTGACAATGGTACGATCGGCGTTGCAGGAACGATTCCTTCCATACAAAGTAACGAACTGCAAGAACTCGTGCAAGGTACAGTTGAAGCCTTTACCAGATCGTATCGGAAACTTGTAAATGTGCCACAAAATTAGAAAGGTCGGCCACCATATCTGGGTTGGTAAACTTCTGGTGATAACCATATGACGCTGACGAATAAAATTTGAACTAATGATAGTTATGAATATATAGATAACTACTGTAAGAGAAGAACGTACTTTTCCCTGACGAACGGATGGATCTATTGGGCGGCTAGGAAACTATGTTGTATGTTTATCTATACAGGACATTATTTTTTTCTCGATAGCAAAGACACGAGCAATCAACTCCGTTAGCTCCGGACTTACTTTTTGCAGATGCCGCACCGCTGCAAGTACAGCACTACTCATGCTTCTGTAGGTTTTTTTGAGAAATTTTTTACCAGTTCTCCTTACCATGCACATTTCGCGAAGCTTCATTCCCTGCGAAAGCTCTAGCGAGTTCTATTATTTAAATGATAACTTCGGCACCGACGGTCTTTCGATTCGGGATGAAGATCTCACCAGAGTTCAGAACCTTGTGGCACGTTTTGATAAACTCAACAGAATAGGCGTCATAAGAAGTGATTTTTTTGACCAGCAGTTGCAAAAACGTTGATGCAATATTCTCTTGTTCGAAACTGGCCTGTCCCGTTCAAGTTAACCGGTTAGACCCACGAAAATGATAGTGTCATTAGAGTTCTTGAAATGACTCTAGTTTTGTATCATTTTAGTGACCAAAGCATTATTCTTCTATTCTCATCATTTGAAATTAGCCTAGTATACCATCGAGAGAAAATGCCTTGTTTCTGATATTTCCAGAATTGCTTACAAGAATAATGTTCGGATGAAATGTTATTGTTAAATTATTTCTGCGATCTGTTTATTAAAAGCCGAAGTCCACTTTCTATTTGATAAGAACCGACCTGTATAAGTCGACAACTCCCCATTATACAAAACTAGGTCAGGCAGAACTAACAGAAAAGAATATATAGTTAGGCTGTACTTAATGCAAAACAATCGTGCAAAATGAGTAAATTTTCCCAAAAATGAGCACATCGCTGATTCGAATTTATTTTCAAATAGGTCCAGCGGATGACTTAAAAAGACGATCGATTACCTACAGCTAACACACATCATCAAATAGACGCTTCATGGTTGTTTTTTCCTAATGTAATATACCTAGGTAACATAAGTAGGTTATTAATGCGTGTTGACAACGAATTTCAGTTCGTATTTGAATTGGTCGTTTTTTTGTGCACTTCTCATAAATTGCGTAAATAACCAGTAATGACTTTATAATTAGAATAAGGTTATTTGCATTAACATGATTTGTCACGAACATAGATTCGCCACTATGGCGAATTCTTAATTAGCTTCTCATAGAATTGAAGGAAGGTCCACTACCTAGGCAATACTACTGAGTTTTTTTCTTCTTCTGTGACATTATTATTATAGTTAGCCCGACTACTATTGGCCAGCTACCTCTTCAACCTGAATACTTCTAAGACCAAAACGCAATGTTCGTCGTCATCCTTTGAGCTGTAAATTAAATCTAGTTGCCCAAATTATACGAAGTAAAGAATAACCTGCGCAAATGAAATGGGTTTAATAGATCCAACCATACTTAAGCATACAGTCGTAGGACAACGCAGCGTTCGCTACGTATTAACAGCCCCCTATGGAAACATCGAGGGCTTTTTCACAATCTCTACGCCTATAATCGCCATAGGAGTTTACTGCGATTCTAGAAACACAAGAACTAAAGATATCTAATGGTTTACCTAGCGACCTGCCTAAGCAAGTAAGTGTTCCGGGTTCTACGTCGGGTACTCTTGCCGCATCAAGTATCGCTGACGTTTATTATTGCCGTTTATACGCTTATTGCCTTAAGTAAGCGGTTGGTGACTTGTTTCAAAAGCGAACCGTGTGTCTCAGTTGAAGCCTTATAACCTAGGACCCACTCATCACTAAGTGTTCGTAAGTTTAATAGGCTAGAACCAGCAACCAACTAGGATCACAGATAGGAAGACATTTAGGTAAATAATTGCTTCGAGTGTTACGTTTGATGCCGTTGTTAAGTTGCAGAAGGCTAGGGGCCCCTTTCAGACGTCAAAGTGTCTCGAACCTACATCACCTAACGTGTGTTTGGGATATAGTCTAATTAGCATTGCACCATTACGGAAACAACGAATCAATTACCAGAACTAGCGTGCTAATATCGGTGTTGTGCCGCTGGAATACACTAATATTTTTTTTTGTTTTACGTTTAGGACAATAGGATCAGTAGTGCAGATCGCTTTGTGACCTGAGAAAAATACAAATATTCTTAACGAACAGAACTTACTATTTCCGTGTTGCACTTTATCATGCCATAACCGAGACAAATACAAACATTTTATATGCTAGTAGATTATGTCATAATAAAACGGTAGTAAACAACCGTATGATACATATGTGAGGTTTCGAACCAATTAATTGGTACCTTCTGCCTTTACCATGCAGAACTTTTCCCAGTCCCTCATCGCGTCTTGCACAACTACCTGGTACAGGACAAATCCCATACTCCAGCATACGCTGATGAAGGCCGCAACGTTTTTCCGTGTTAGAATGTTCTGTCCATAAAAAATTATTCCTAATGAGTTGCTCCGAAGGAGTAGAAAGTTCACAGGACCCCACCTCTTTATGGCAAATCGAGCTTCGACTTCGTGGAGGCATTCCCATCGTATTCGACATCGAAGCCGGGCCAAACATTGTTCCACACGAATTCCACGATAATCGATGAGAAAAACTAGCAGACTCTGGCAAATTGCGGTACAAATAATATAATATTGATTACTTCCTTTGCATGACGCTGCCGGGAGTTCGCCAGCAAACTGACCGAGAGTCCATACGAGGTAGTTCACATGGAGGAGTCGCAATACGGGCCTGAGCATCTGATCTGCATCGAGCAGGACTTCATCGACAGAACGACACAAAATATCTATCGGAATATTATTGTGACTGAGTAATCTGACGATGTCCATTTCAACTGATAGCAATAAGCGACTCACCAGAATTTTTATGACCGTTCCACACATTCGTACGGTGGTGAATAACAACCCCTCGATTACGAGTTCTGGGAATATTCCAGCTAATTTATAAAGCGGATTCGCTTTGTTGGCTAAAAAAATAATCTCGTCGTAGCTAATCTTGGCAAACACCGCGGCGACCACAAGCGTTAACATCTGATCTAGAGAATTCCATCGGTCGGGCACTCGATGATTGAACTCGTAGCGGTTGTTAACGACCCACAAGTATAAATAGGCCACTTCGATAACATGGGAAAGGTACGAAAAGCCGTGAATATACTTCAGAAGTCCCTTGCGATGTACATAATCGTACTCACGTAAAGTTGAAACTATAAGACACACGAATGAAATAGCCTGACCTAACAGGATCAGCGGCACGACGACCTTATTCATACGGCACCCTGAAAACTGTCCGCCTAAAGGCACTCCCAGACAGCAGAACAGCGTCTTGAGGAGATCCGGGAACATGTTCCACCTACCACAATCTAAGGCTTAATATATTAGCGGTGCGATACTGGCGGTAGCATTGGTTGTGACACTTCTAACAGGCTTTTAAGGATCAACCGAGAGAAACTCCTTCATTGTTAAACTTTTTGATTTGCAGAAAACTACTAGATTAAAAACCGGTTCGAGGTAATGTTAGGCTGACTACTCGGACAACAATGAACTGCTAGTAAAGATTGATCGTTTGGATAGCGCAAGCTGCTGGTGGCTATGAACGAGCAGAACTTTTTTTAGGATCCCTCAATGGTTTGCATGTAGACACTGATGATACGCGACCGTCATGAGTAATTTAATAGATAGTTGTTGATTTATCGCACGTTGTGGGCTAGTAAAAATGGATTCATATGACAAAAATCGATTTCGGTTGTAGCGTTGATAACTGAAATCTAATCGACTGTAAATATGTGTGGCGTGCAAATGACTTATATATAAAGCCGAAACCGTGTTAACTTGTAACTTATGATGTCTGAGTTTTATTAAAAACAAATATTGCGTGTAAAGGATGCATTATAGTCGGACACATATACCCACCATGTAAATAGAAATCCCATATGGAAAATGATCGCTAGAAACAGTAGTTCAGCAACACTGTGGTTCACTAAGTAGGGACAGTTCCATAATATGAATAGATTGAATTCTCGTTCTAGGCAGTTCGGATTACACTTATGAGTCAAAATGATGAAAACAATTCCTTAGCAGTAAGTTCATGACAAGTGATGCAACATAATAAATCAATGAGGTTTGAAAATAAAGTAGATCAAAACGGCACCAGTTTTGCGGTGGACTAACGTTTTTGAAGACAAGGCAACCTGTCACTGCAAATATGGGCGAAATCACAAAAAACATATTGAAACGCAAAAATTAGGTTGTCGTTTTGCCCCCGGAGAGTTTGCAGAAAAATCATTCATCTCATACGAGCCATGTCTTAGAACATGAGAACAGACTTAAAGAACGATTTAAGCACACTACTTAATGGCGATAATTGGCATTCAGAAAACAATGAATTGAACATTCATTGAACTCAGAAACGATGAACATTAAATTGAATCTCCAGTTAATATAGAGCTAAATTTTCTATAAATTGTTTAAAGTGAATTTTATGATGCTTGTATGGGATATGCTGAGTTTTCACAGATAAATTACAATATTGAAATATTACATATATGAGCAGGTTTATATTAGGAAAGAAGTGTACCCTACCGAGCGTTGAAAAAGGTAACTGGAGCTTGACGGCTATAAAGGTGACTTTCCATACAATATTTTTTATAAATCCTTTTTTAGATAGTAACGTATATTTTTTAACAAAAAACAGGAAAGGGAAAGATCGAACTTAGAAATACTAAGTTCTAAGTAGATTTACTGCTTTCTAGAGTAAATCTACTAAAACATTGTATTTTTACCACATATTCTATCGACCTCGTATTTATATCTACGTTACCATATACAAAAAGAAATTAAAAGAAAAATGTCGCACGGAAGGCAATCTTTAAAACCGCTAAATTTTGCTTAGCTTTTAATAACGTCGCACAGAAAACGCTTGTTTTCTCTCTTTTACAGCGAACTTATATAATAACACTAATTTCTTTACCTGAAAGCTCGGACTTTATCCCTTCCCTGTTAGTGTGCTCATCATGTGTGATGAAAGTCACATTATCAATCCACTGAACACCCTTTACATCGGTGAATTGATTATCACGGTGTTTCCAATGCAAGGCAGGTCTGAAATCCAAGGTATGACTCTTTAGTGTATTTGTATTGCACGTTTATGTCACTCTTACATCTTTACGTTTCGTATTTCACGACTGGCTCTCAGCACGAAATTAAATCTGTCTATCCTTGGGTTTGAACCTAGACCATAACGTGTACCTAATATTAATACATAAATACGTTACCTATTAAACTACCACGGCGCACACAACCAAATTAACATAATTTGTCCATAAGGGGCATGAATTTGCTTCAGCGTGCGGAGAATAGACTTTTGGATCGTATATTTCAATAATCGCGCCGGACAAAAAAATTCTTCGCGTTCCTGGTGCCCAACGTAGCATTGCAAGCATCTGTGTAAAAATGTCTACAGAAAATTGATCCCAAAATGATGTTGTGCATGACCCACTATCGTTATGATATATTCCTCCATGATGATGTATCTATTTTCTTTTTTTTTTTACTATTATAGATGCTACAACTTCTGCTGCCAGACGTTTGCATCTAACGATCTGAACGTGTTCCAGTCAATCATAGCGTGGTGCATAACCAATTGATGTAGGACGAATTTGCCAACCCAGTAAAAGCATAAAAGGGCGGTCTTATTTTTATACGTGGCGACATGCTGATGAAAGACTAATACCCAGCAAATTGGCCCGCAGGGGCGTGGAGCTACCCAAAAATCACTTTTTGAAAGAATGCAGCTTTTGCAACCTTCACAGGTATCGCTGACGAACCCAAGGTCGAAAGCGTATGAAGTACGTATCGACGTTTACCAGCCTATAATCGATCAACAGAAAAAAAAGCTAATACAGGATAACAAAGTGGATATTACAAAAACTAGCTTATCGTCATTACAGAACACTGCGGGCAACTCATTGGCAAAAGGATAACGATCTAATCATTGATATGTGGCCTTAAGCCGCCCAGTGCCAGAATTGACGATAATCCTATAACATTACATACATAACTGTAAACAGCATACATTCGTGTACAGATCTGGGCAGTATTTATAGCACGATCGTAATAAAATACAGTTCATATTTGCAGAGAGTTCCCTCGTTTTCAAGGTGCTGCATCTCAAGACTGAATAAGCTCTAAGCGCGTCTGCCACTGTCAAACCTCAGCATCAACGCCAAGCCTTCACGATTTTCATGTTCTAAATATCTGACTTTAAAGCCATCTATTTAAAAAAAAAGAGCGACCACGTAATATATATATATATATGATTTGTAACCTTTACCCTAAAGAAAGCACTAATAATATCGCAGACAAGTCTATATTCGGTCATTTTTTTAATTTTCAGCGTTAACCTACTAGCTAATCTGTTTTTTTAACATATTCACCTATTAAAAAAATACGGTGTTTTTATTAAGCGTTCCAAACTCCAATAACGAGCCATTTTATAGAACGCGCACTATCTGGAAAACATTGTTAGTAATAACAACCGTTATGTACCTGACATGCATGATTTAATGCGCCTAGCCCAAGTTAGCAGAACAAAGTTGGATTATTGGGTCGCCGTAACATTCTCCAAAAAAAAATATTAGGATCTGATGTACTGTTGATATTGTGATCTTTGACAATGAGATCAGCAAATTAATGGAGAAAAGTTTTCCTTAAATATTTGACATGTATTCGAAGCAATACCAGAAAACCCTGAAATATTTTTAAAAGAACAGAAATAATATTAAATTAAAAAGAACGAGCGTATTTATATACATAATTAACACTATGCGTTTAGCAACAAAAGGTTGCAAATAAATTTCACATAGGGTCCGGTACCGTAGAAAAAAGAGACGCTAGGTTTTCGCTTGGCAAAGCGTCAAAAAATTGAAGTTTATTGCCCTACGGCCTTACAGCAAATATGTTCGCGTAAGGTTTTCTAGTAGCTACTGAAAATAACATAAGGGAATAGCTCATTATATGAGAAGCCTAAAACCGTTCACAAGCCTATTTATTATTATTGAATTATTCTTGACAGTACTCTGCCTGAAAAAAATTCAAGAAACAGTTAACTTAGATCTTCCATATGACTATTAAGATATAGTTAAGTGGCGACATTGTTTAAAGGCCCAGATTATTAGACGGGTCAGAGTTCCATACGTTCTTGGAAAGAAGAGGCTAGCGGCCTATATACATTGCTTTAACATCTTGGCTATCTGTAAGGCCAAATACTGAAGGGAAACCTTTTGTAGTTTACAAAGGACACGAAATCAGTTAGGGTTTGAAATAGTAGCTAGACTCCAAAGTGACATTCTTGTCTGTCAAATAAATACTTTATGAAAATTACATTTAAAATATTCGGAATTCAGAAATGGCAGTTATGGCAATAATTTGAATACTTTAATTCCTACAAAACTGCTGTTTTTTTTTTACCCTTGAGGTATAATATGTAGAAAATTGAAAATATATCTGTTAGGACCTATTTCAGTTGCTTATTACAGTTCAAGCTCCCAAGGGTCAGTATGAAGACATTTATTACATTTTTGGCATGAAAATTAAACTAATAAGAGTGGCATTTCGGTGCAATAACAATTGTCTTTATGCAAGCTTTGACAACGCATATGAAGCTTCAATTGTCGAGACATTTTCAAAAGATGTTACAAAATTTTAGAATGGAAACTCTAAACTGTTAAAGAGAATGGATTGTAAAGTTAATTTTGTCACATCATAGAAAAATATGTATCTATATAAATGACATATCAGTCAGCCATATTTCACCATGTTTGTTCTGCAATCGACTCGTCGAACACAGTTTATACAACGCTGATAACTGTAATTAAAGTTGTTCAGTTGGGGAATTAAAATTCGGACACACTGTGGAAAGCTGCGCGTCATGGCGGAAATCTCTTATCCTTTGCAACAGAAGAGACCAGTTCTTTTTAGCATAACACAACAGATTCGCAATAACGAAAAACACCGCGGTGTTTTTGAAATTCATGCTAATATTAGCTGTTTTCGAATCTTTTCACGGTGGACAAACCTCCACCAAATCAACAACCTGCTAGTTCCTATGCGGTTTTTAAAAACTTCAAAAAAGGCTTGCATGAAGCAAACCTGAAAATAACCAGTTAGTGGTTTATGTTCCGAATTGAAACTGGAGCCACGCTTAATGGTGATGATAATAAATATATATGACACTGAAATATCCATTTCTGTCTATATACTATATCAGAAACAAGTTACATGAAAAAATCTGGATGAGATTAAATTCAGATTTAGCCCTGCTGTGCGCCGTTGTTTTCGTCAATAGCTAACGATTTACTTATACAGATAGGTTAAGAACGTGTCTTTGCATCGCAGTTTTAGAATGGCGTTCCTCTAGTCGACGAAAACGGTTGACTGGCATTATGGATTCAAAATGCGTTTATCGATTACCTAATTTTTGTAGTTTAAAGATTACAGAAAATTTCAAGTTGTAGAAACCATATCGCTACAAGGGTTAGACTGACGGAATTTATCATTAATTTATTGTGCAGATTAAGATGGAATCGTTGCATCATGGATGCTACCTAACGAACGAAAGGTGTAACATTGCTGTCTGAAAATCTGCTGCAGGCATCAAACGAGCCAGTGAGGCAAGTTGATTTCCTCATCTCCTAACATATAGACGCTGCCTATATCTTTTAAAACCGAACAATCACACAGGCGACTGACGACCGCTCTAAATGCAGAAATCCATTCATAGATAACCTGATGTGTTCTTTCGGGTGAAAACCTTTTGAGTACCTACGAGATTTTCAGGTTCCCCGAGATGTCAAGTTTGTTAAAATATGCAAGTGAAGTATTAACGCTAATAAACGTGACGAAAAAGCCACAAAGGCTAGTCTTATTCCTAGGATTCTGGAAGTTTTCATCATACAAATTTATGCATGCCAGTATATTTTATAACATCGATAATAACAATAAATAGCTACAGCGATAAACGCCGCAATCTGCATCGAGCACAGGCCAAAGCACCTTTTTTCGTAGCGACGCCCATACTTTAAAACCGTATGGCATCGCCGATTCCGACATCGAGCTCAGTTAGCCCTTAGCTAGATAGGCTCTGTGTTCCTAAAAAATGCAATGCACTTAATCAGTATCGCACAGGCACTCAACACTTTTGTGTAAGTCCAATAAATCAAAGTAACGAATCAAATAACTTATATCGAGATCTATCGACTTATTCAAAACCGGCATGAGATCTCTGCTATTAGAGGCTGGCGGAACGTTGATGTCGAATTCACCTGCGAACATTGTTTTACTTATTAATTACGCGCTTATTGGTAAGTTGTCTAGATAACATAATTGGCGGAAACAATTTAGCCGGTTATGAGACTACCTATGAACGCTATCAAGTCTGATGGTGAGAGCGTTGATTTGAACCTGTTGACGAGCGTGTATGACTATTGTGCGTACCAGTAAGTCAAAGCAATAATATAACGCTATCATAAAACATCTAAAAGAGAACGAAACTATATGTTGCAGCTGTCAGTATAAAAAATACGACTATTAACTGAAAAATATGCTTGGTTTGCATTTTAAAAATGTTTGATTTTTTTTATTAATGTTCATTGACGAATGTCTGGGCACTAAGCCTCCAATAGACAACGGTGGAAGTGAATATAATTATTGTACAGCGTTCACGTTTCTCTGCAAAACGTCAATGAACCAAGGTACGTTTGCATCTTCTTGGAATACCGCAATGTGTGACGTTCTCAGCTTGGGAACACATGGTAGCATAGGTTTGAACCAGGGCGTAGACACACCTCATTTCATACTGAGAGCACATGTCTCACGAAGTACGTGACGACTCAGGCACCGAAATTCACGAAGAATGTTTTTCTATATACGTTGGTATCAAAATAGGGAATATAACTTTGGACATTCCAAAGCTATATAGTTTTGAAGCTAAAGGAGAAGCAAAACGTTAAATAAAAATCAAACAATTTGTGAATAATCTCTAACATGTTCTTCTCTCGAAACGGTAGAGTTAATATGAATGCAATGTAACATTAGAAATGCTCGCTAGAAATTTCTAAACGATTGAGATATACGTAACAGTCTGTTCCACCAATAAACTTTTGAGAGCATTCGCATACTTTGGAATGGAAGGTCGAAAAATCGGCATTTAAATATAAGTGAGCTATAAAATTCGATATATAATCTGACTATTTTAAATTTACGCTGCTGCAGCATCACTTCAGATAGATAGCTTGTCGTCACAACTAAATGAATGGGCAAGGTACGTCTATGCATGGCCTTGAACCTGTGTGATATTTGCGGGCTGAGCCTTCCATGTAAAGAGGTCTCCGCAATCACCTTCTGGTATTGCATCAAAGAATCTGTGCAATCATAAATGCCCCTAGTTAGCAGTTAGCTGTCATGGCACAACAGCCTCTGGTAGATTTCATCGATGTTTCAAGCTTACATATTACCGCTATAAAACATTGTGTCAAACGACAGGTCTGTTAAGCACAAAACAAACCATATCTATTTGTTCGGTCCTGAACCTAGACTACACTAGTTCAATTAGTTGGATCGGCATGCCTTAGGTGACTAACGCGCGTCTCTTTGAATGCGTTGCCCTGGGAATCATGAACATGCGGCCATCTTTGGTTCAAAATTTTGCATTAACAATGCTTATTATGCTGTTTCATAGATCTCTTGGGGAAAACCAATATAGCCCAGCAAGGCCCAGTAAGACCCACGGACCGGATATCCACCAACCACTGAAAAATAACATGCCATGTTATGTAATACAGCGATACCGAGGTCTGTTGTAAAGGGACGGTCTTAAGCCAGCCAAAAATGTCACTCGAGCCTACTAAATGAACACGCTGCTACTGCATCACCAAAAACATCCTCTACAGGGGTAATGTAAATTTTGAATTTTATGTGCAGTGCAGCTCTTACGGATTGCTTCAGAGACTTCCAATAAACTTGTCTTTAGGAGATCCTTTAACGGATTTTCTAACGCACCTGGACACATTTCTCCGACAGTCTGCGGTGCGGTCCAAGCATGAAACTACTGTTAAACTCAGGAGTCTCCAACACACTAAACTAAATGTTTCGATTTTTTATGTCCAATGATGCCTTGGGCTTCGTATGGGCGCGTCTTTGCAGCACAAAACGAAATGTGCTCACGCCTACTTTCGAACCTAGACCACCTAAGTGATTTAATAGACCAACTAGGTAGCCTCCAACACATCAGCGGGACAGCAGGATAATTATACC